AGCAACACCAGGCAGCGATTCTCCTCAGATCGTCTGGTAAGTTGAATCTCAGCAACATTAATGTCTTTGTATGAGAATGACAAGTAAATCTTAGAGTCGTCTATACATACGATTCTAAAGGACATATAATGGGAGTAGTTGGAAGATCGTTTATATAAATACTAAATAACGCTGGACCAAGTATTGAACCTTGAGGCGCACCGTGTGTTATCGCACGAGCTTCTGATGGTATATGACCAATCCTCACAGACTGAGTTCTGTCTGAGAGGTAACTCTTAAACCAATCCACAGCTTTCCCATACACGCCCATTGAATGCAGTTTTTTGAATAGCAACGAATGTTCAATGCTATCGACCGCTTTCGACAAGTCTAATAACACAACTGCAGTCAATTCTTCCTGTCCATGGCATCAAGAGTCATATCCGAAACAAGTATATTTAGTGTCTCTGTTGAATGCATCTTTTTATTTGCACTCTGATGTTTGGTGAGACGTACACCCTTTCTGAGACATATATTCCATCAATTGATTGAGTGCAGCCCGTTCACAGATCTTGAGGCCACAGTAAGCACGGACACGGATTGTTAGGTATTTCGTAATCCCCTCCTTTAAAATTGGGATAGCCACCGATTTCTTCCAAGCTAATGGAAACACCGCAGTTAATAAGGAACGGTTTACAATCTCGGTTAGGATTGGAAGAATTATAGGAAGAGCATCCTGTATAACAGAGACAGAAACGTTGTCCACGCCTGGTGCCTTATATGAAGGAAATGAATTCACGATCTTACGTATTTCATAAGATGATACAGGGCGGAAATTAAACTCATCAGTGTTGTTATTTAATACAAAATAAATTAAATCGCCTTCTTTATCAAAAATACTTTATCTTATTCTGAAAGTAACTATTTAATTCCAGACTCAGGAAACCTTGAAATTATTTGCATTGAAATTAGTAAAAGATTTGGTGCCTCCTTCATTGTAAGTAGCTGGTATCGGCCACCTAACTCGGAACTTGAACTCTATTTGATAATTTCGAACTTTTTTGTTTAAGGAGGCTCCCTACAGTTGCGTGCGAGATGTTCGCGGACCAGTACGTGAACTATCCCACGCAACCGCATGATCAAAACAAAACAAAAATTGACCACGCTTTTTTTTAAATAAAGCTATTTCTGAAAGGTTTCTAATCGAAAAAAGCGTTGAATAATACTTCGTTTTGAGTGCCAAATCACTTGCGAGTCTATACAGCAATTCTACATATGATACGAATATCACTAGACCAAAAAATAGCTACGAAACAATGTTTTTAATTTTTTTTTAAATATACACTGTCAACTG